TCTTCTTCTTTCCATTATTTACTATACAAATCAGTTAAATTAATTTTCATTGTTCATTTTCAACACATAAATTATTGAATTTTACTTCTGAAATAAAAGTTGGAAACTAAGAAAACTACAGTATCTTCAACATAACAGCCATGATATTGTACCAATAAAAAAAATGTGTCATGTATAGGTAAACATTAGGAAAAAACTGAAAGTACATGCAATAGAGTTAAAACAGAAAAAAATACATTATCAATAAAATTGGCTTGTTTTATGTCAAAGAAAAATAGGGGATACTCTCAAGTAAAAGCTGATGGCCGACATGGAAAATTGCCATTTGCAAAGACACTTATTCACAAGAAACAATGAGGTATTTTAAACACTGCCGTACAGTTAAACCATAGGATATACAAATCACAATGCTCTTCCTCACAACCAATGTCAATTATAAAATTTGTTATTTTTATACATTATCAATTTTAAGTATAGCCCATCTCATCTAGGAAGAAAACAAATTCTAATTCAAAATTATATGTACATTGAAAATCTTTTTAGGGCTATAAATAAAACATACATGTATGTTGTCATGCTAATATAGACCATTTAAAAAGTACAGATTTATATGTTTGAAATCATTGTTTCTCCTAGATTTGATGCTACTAGTAATTCTTAAGCACATGCATGTATATGAAGAAAGTTCAAATTGGTGAGGAATTAATATAAGTAAAAGCTCTATAAAATGTAGAAGATAAAAAATTCTGCAATTTACAAAAGAGAACAGGTTACAAAAACAATAGTTCAAAGACTATGCTATATACATAGATTTTTATGGATTTGTTTTAAACAAGTATTTATGAGAAGTCTCATTGCATTGGGTACATTCTGTATTGTCATTTGTAAAGCACATGTATCTCAATTCATAAATTACAAAATTTTCTCAATAAAACTAGCAGACATTCTTTAAAATATTTTACTTTAAATTTCTTTTAGTCCCAGAATAACTACTATTATAATATTGATTTAAATTAAAATCTATCACAATGAATGGTCATAAATCATGGTTTTCTGTGGCATCCAGCATTGTTTTGAACTTGGATTTGGGATTTGACATCAGTTTCCCTGGGGTATCAAACTCAACCACCTGTTAAAAAAAAGGAAATCAACAGAATTGCATACCGTATATACTCGCCTATAAGTCGGATTTTTGGGAGTTAAACTTTGGTCCAAAACTGTATGTCCGACTTATAGGCGAGTTATAAAAAGAAAGGTATTTTAGAAGGCCAATCCCTCTAATATAAGCTTCAAAAATACAACCGCGGACCGACTTATAGGCGAGTATATACGGTAATTCCAGAATGTTTCTGTATATTTATGGAATTTAAAACTTTTATAAAAAACTTGCATTGTTCGGTTGAATAACAGTTTTTTTTTACCTGCTTTTAAATCAATAATATGTATATTAATAAATCTTTAAAAATATTTTTAAACAGTAATAACTGCATATTCTGGGAAGGCCAAATGCACTGAAAATAGTGAAATACTGTAAATCACTTTATTATGAGAACTTTATTTTGCATAATTATATGATGCTTGCTGCTTGTAAAATGCCATTCTTGCATATGTTTGTATTATGCTGGTCAACTAGAATGCAATGCATTCACTTTGTGCAACCCTGTCATGTCACAAATAAATGTCTAATAATGTGACTTCAGCCTGCCAATGATTTTAATCTTAGACCTATGTTGGAGTCATAATCAAAATTTCTGAACTGCTCCTCTCAAAATCAAATATATAGGACTTGATATCGGCATAACAGTAAAGAGACAATGTAAAGAAATTTTCTTTCTTTTGCAAGTTTGCAATTCGAATATGTAAACAGCAATTTTCATATGTGGTTTCTTTGTGCAAGCAATCTTTTCTATTACTAAAAAAATGAGTTACTCATTCACTTTAAAAAATATTTGTAATTTTTTTTCCCCTCAAAATATTGTGAGGGTAAGTTGCTTTAGAAGGAAATTTGGTTAAAAGTACAATATATAGTCCAACAGCAAGAATTACAGGGAGTAACTTCAGAAGTGCTGTATTTAAACAAAATGTGCACTGAGTAATCAGTGATATGCTCTTGGGTTCAAGGAATCTAACCAAAATCAAAAAAATATTTAATACTGGTCACAGCCCTTGATAGTGAATACTGTGGTTTCATGAATTTTCTTGAGGATCAAATTTTATGGTTTTAGTAAACAATGCAAAATGTCCCATTTCAAATATTAATATAAAGTAGAGACTTTGTGCTTTCATTTTTTATAGAAAAGTTTCCTCTCGGAGTCCAGGTATTGGAAAACAGGTTTTGTGAAATTGTAATTTTCTTGAATTTTATCGAAAACAGGTGTATTTGAGTACTTTCAGCAAAAAATCAATAACTTATTAAATGTTCTTCAAAGACCAAGAGAGGCCTATGTGAGAGCTAGGTCACAATATGGGGTTACAAAATATGAGTGCATCCCTTGATCCAAAAAATAAAATGTTTTGTAATCTTCAGAAATAGTTCTATCATTATATAATTGCACATTTTAGATCACTGGTGGTGCTCTATACAAAATATTGAAAAATAGCTTAAATTTTTGTCCATTTATATAGAAATTTTCAGGATATGGGAATATAATGACGCAATTCATAACGTCATAATAAATTGTCTTACCAGAAAATTACATCATTTTTCATAGATTCTCAGTCACCAAGGGTCAAAAAGATATTTAATGCATTGTCAACTTTCAATTTTTCAGAAAATCACAGGGCCAAAACATGCATTATGTAAATATTGTTTTTTTGTAATTTGTTGATCAACTAATTTTGTAGTCTAGATCAACCATGAAAACAATGAAAATTGATGATAAACAAAAAAAAATGATGAAACCAGGGCATACTTATTGCTATAAAAGAAGAATAATTTATTTTTAGATAAGGTAACTCTTGATACCTTGAAGTCCGTGGTACCGAGGAAAAATTTCAAGAGATCCAGAGTTCGAGCCATCGAGAGACATCTGTATAATTCTATGCTTTTTTTATGTTTTGTACATACCTTTCCCTCCTCCATTACTAGGATACGGTTACAAGACAAGACGGTATTCAGTCTGTGTGCTATAATTAGCATTGTGCAATCAGAGAAAGCCTCTTTGATTGTTGTCTGTACTAGAGCGTCAGTCTCTGTATCGATGGCAGCCGTAGCTTCATCCAGCATCAGGACCTGGATTATAGATAACAAAGGATACAAGTTACATGTATATCTGTTTCTCTTGTTGTGTCTTATTGCAAACACCAGGAAATTTTCCTTGCTTATCTCATAATTGAAATTCAAATTTGAGATTCTTTCATTTCACAAAATTGTAAGTCAAATACAGGTGGTAACTGTCTTAATATGTTCAAGATAATATCAAAAAGCATATACATTTTACATCATGTACATTAAAACGATTCTCATTCATGTAACACTGTAAAAATCAAGAATTCTTCAAATAAACACATACTTTGCTATGTCTTAACAGAGCTCTGGCTAAACAAATTAGTTGTCTCTCCCCAACAGAGAAATTCTCTCCATTTTCTATAACCTGAGAGTCTAGTTGATGTTCAAGGGAAGCAATCTAGTTTTTAAAAAAAGATGCATTTAATAAATGAATATTTATTGATTAAATCTTGTATCTTACTTTAGTTGTCAAAATTTTACGATCTTAATATAAAACAATAAATTGCATTCCAAATATGCATGGAATAAATATCTGTAATCTACATGTATTTAGAAACTTTCCCTAACAACCTTTATGAATTTCTTGCACAATATTGTGATGTATTTATAAACACTGTTTCAATTTTTTTTTGTATGAAAAATGTCCTTGTGCAAAATAAGCACATTTTTATCTCTCTGACACAAACTTTAGTATTTTTTGAAGTCTGATTACTGCTACATTTCTCATGTAATTATATGGAAGATTTAAAACACTGGTTGCAAACTTTCAAAAAGTAATCAGAGGTAATCTAGGTCAGTCTGCATTAGTCAATCATGGTGAGACATGGTCAAGAAGCACAGGCCAACTATGTTTGTCAAATTAAGATGTGTATAAATACTTACAGTTTCCTTTATATGACATTTTTCTAGTGCTGGCCATAACACTTCATCACTGTACTCTCCAAAAGGATCTAAGTTATACCTATAATTAGAAGTTATACCTAAAATTAGAAGTTATGCCTATAATTAGAAGTTATACCTATAATTAGAAGTTATACCTAAAATTAGAAGTTATACCTATAATTAGAAGTTATACCTAAAATTAGAAGTTATACCTATAATTAGACACTATCAACGAGTCATCTACTGATCAATAACAGGCTGGTAACTTTATGCATATTAAATAAAACTTCACCAGTTTTTTGTTTAGAAGTACTTATCAGTGGTAGTGTACAACCAACCAGTTAATGATCATATCTCCTGGTAAACTGGCTCAAATTGTTTTCATGAAAAAACGATAATTTTGTCAAAATTAACCAGGATACCATTGATTTAGCTTTTGGTATGTAATAAATTTATGTTCTTGTAACCTAAAATGTCCACTCATGCTGTAAAAAATAAATTCTTCTATTAAATAGTGATAATTCCTGGTCTACTGTGTAAACAGATTTTGATCCGACCTGATGGTGCCTATGAAGAGAACAGGGTCCTGTGGTATAATGGCCAGTTTGGACCTCAGATCCTCTAGTCCTAGTGTGGATATGTCAATACCATCTAACTTAATGGACCCAGAATCTAGCTCCACCAACCGAAACAGAGCCACACCCAAAGAGGATTTTCCTACAGCAATTAAAAAGAATGTTAATTTTCTTATTTGTACAGTGTATATGTGTATGATTTAATGTATAATGCAAGCAGAATACAGACCTACAAACTGAAATGAGTTTAAGCAAGAAAAATATTAAAATTCTAACACATAATGATGTCTAAATATATATGTACATTTACTAGCTTCATTTATTTATGTACATGCTAATAAATTGGCACATGACTATATTATTCAGGGATCGACATTAACGGTTGTCCGATTGCCAGGGACAAGTAAATTCTCAGTTCGGGCAAGTGAAATTGTCGACATACTTGTCCGATCGGGCAAGTGAATTTTTCTCATACAAAAGTACATATTTATTTAGTTTACGTTAATTTATAAATAAAACAATAAATTGAACACTTGATTTCCGCCACGCATCTGACTGACAATGTTTTGCATTCGAAATTCCTTGGTAGCGTTTCTGGATTATACCGTTCATATAAAAATCGAATTTGTTGTTTTCTTTCGTAGGAAATACACTCTACATCTAACAAAATTTTGTTAACTTCTTATTATGAAATTATATTATTCACGCACAGAATATAAGTACAGTGTAACACGTTGTATCCTGATCAAGGTAAGATGTATGTTTCGTAGCAACTATCTTCCTTAAGCGTTGCTTCACAGTTATCGCTGAAAATCACGAATCACAAAATGATCCTACCGCAATTAATTTTCAAATATATGATTTTTTTTTTTAAAGGAAACGGAGGGTTATTGCTGCATGGCAGTGTATGTTAACAGGTTAAATTTACAAGTACAGCGGTATACATTTATGTACAAACACAGGATCGAAATTTTTTCAGGTACCCGGTAGCTCAACTTGCCAAATTGACAGTAGTGTATTTCGTCACATTTTTTCTTTTCATAACGTTTGCAGTAATTAATAATTTTCGTCTTAAGTTCCATCCTAATTTTGGGCAACCAAGTTTTGCATTCGGACAAGTCAAAGTTTGAGATCACTTGCCCGAAGGGCAAGTGAATCTGAAAGTTAATGTCTATCCCTGTTATTATAACTTGTTTCATAAGACTTTATATATAACATGAGACATATCCTTGACTAAGAAAGTATAGAAAGCATGAGTTTTACCTGATCCTGATCGGCCCACTATGCCTATCTTCTCCTGAGGAAGAACATCAAAGGACACTCCCTTTAGGGCCAGTGGGAGGTTTTCTCTGTACCGGAGCTTGACGCTCTTGAAGACTAATGTCCCCTCGTGTGGCCAGTCATCTGGAGGACGACTTTTCTTGATGATGGCCGGGGCCTCGGATTCTGCTTCCTGTATAAAAATACTGTAAATTATAGACCAACAAAATGGCAAAACACATGTGTTCCATACCATGCTCTGAGAAACTGTTGCTGCAATAATGGATGAAAGCAACACGGAGATGTTAGTACATGTATGTACATTGTATGTACAGTATATGGAATATAAAATTAAAGATATGTTAATCTTCTTAATCTACTGGTACACGTAAGTTTTGCCGTACAGTATAACCACAGCCTTCCAATCATTTTCTCCAAAATTCTGCGAATGAACAAACTATGAAGGGACAATGTCACTCTCTAACAGAAATAAAACTATTTGTAAACTTATGCCTTAACAACAAGTGAAATTTTCCAGCAGTGGAAACACTATACCTTTTCATACTGTGAAAGTCTCTCCACAGAGGTGAATCTGGCCTCTGTGTCTATTGCCATCCTCACAGTAAATTGGAATAACCCTGTCATCTGAAATAATGATAAAAAACAACTCCTCAAAACACAATTCACATATGTGCACATTCACACACTAAAGGACATACATGTACATTGTGCATGTAAAAACTGACATCATTATTCATGAATGGGCTCATAAGTCTTTTACCTTCAGAAAGGAAATTGCTAATTAAAAATAATTTTTCCAGTAAAACAAATTGAAGAAAGTAAAGACTTTCTACTGACCTGTACAGAGAAAGCCAGGGCCATGCCGGCTAATGCTGTTGGAATGTTGGTGACAATTACAAGAAGGCCAGTTATTCCTACTACAATAACACATAGAAGATCAAGGCGAATGGCAAGCCAGCGATTGGATGCTGAAAACAGGAAGAAAGGCACCGAATTGGTGTCTAACAGCTGATGAAATCTACAAAATGTAAAAATCAAGAATGTACAGAAACATAGCAAGATTAATTAATCTAGTCTGAAAGGAACTATGCCTAATATGTTATAATCACTTCTTAAATCACAAGCAGATAAGTTTGGTCATTCAAAATTTTGTGCAAAATTCATAATTTATATTTACAGGTAGAAACAAATCAGAATTTGCATTATTGTTGAATTACATGTACTACATCTTGTGACTCATTTAAAGTATATGTAATTCCTCCTCTCCTAATTTTTATTTCAAAACTTCTCACCTATCCATAAATTCTGTAGATTTTCCAAAGGCATGAATGGTACTGATGCCCTGTACAGTGGCAGTGATATGGCTGATCAACGGGGACCGGGTTCTAGCATCCATTCTCTTTAATTCACGAACACCAGAGGTAAACACAAAGTTCAACACAAAAAATGCAACGGCAAGAGGCAGAAGAGCAATGAGGAAATATGGGGAAACATAGGCTATACTAATGAGGGCAAATATGATCATCAGAATGTTCATCAGGAAAATTTCTGCACTGGCTGGTAATCGAACATCAACTGAAATGAGAGTTCAAAATGAATATTCAATGTACAGACAATTCCACAAAAAAATCTCTTTCAGCAAGATATCAGACAGGGCTTAAGAAACAAAATGTTCATACTAAGAAAGTTACTTCTGTCTATGTCATTGAAAAAATATATTGATAATTGAGAGAAAAGAAAACTTACTTTCATCCATGTCATAGGAAAATCTATTAACGATCCTCCCAATTGGAGTAGAATCAAAAAATGTCATGGGACATCTTAGAATTTTTCTGAAATTTCGATCATGCATCTTGCTAGAAGCACGAAGTGTAACCTGAAAAAAAGTGTTTTACCAGACTGAGCATACTGTGCATTGTATATTAAATGTGCAATCTATGCATACAGTGTATATGCTGCTTTTTCATATTTTTAAATTTTTCCTGCACAAAATCATCTTTTTGTCCCATAAACAATTTTGAAATATTTTCATCCACTGATACCTTCATAAAAAGAAAAGCCCTGAAAACGGTAAACACCACCATGGCAATCACGCCCATTCCGTAGATGAGAGCGTAGAAATCTAGCTGAGGATTGTCTTGTATATTCATGTTCTTAACAGTCACATTTCCAATAATTGTTGTATTCTGTAAAAAGAGCAGATACTACAATGGTAACTGTCTATTAAATTTTATTAACTTGTATGAGTTTTGGATTGCAAAAACCAACAATTAAAGACAATACATGTAATTTCCATTTGCATAAATTAATAATCATTTCTATAACAAGTAATAGCAATGATCCAAAGACAAGAATCCACACATTTTTTGACATAACATCACTTCTAAACACACTAACTCCTCCTCCCTGCTCTAACAGTAAGATAACTAACTCCTCCTCCCTGTTCTAACCGTAAGATAACTGACCCCTCCTCCCTTCTCTAACAGTAAGATAACTGACCCCTCCTCCTTGTTCTAACTGTAAGATAACTGACCCCTCCTCCCTTCTCTAACAGTAAGATAACTGACTCCTCCTACCTGCTCTAACAGTAAGACAACTGACAACTCCTCCCTGCTCTAACAGTAAGATAACTGACTCCTCCTCCCTGTTCTAACAGTAAGACAACTGACCCCTCCTCCCTGCTCTAACAGTAAGACAACTGACCCCTCCTCCCTGCTCTAACAGTAAGATAACTGACCCCTCCTCCCTACTCTAACAGTAAGACAACTGACCCCTCCTCCCGGCTCTAACATTATGATAACTGACCCCTCCTCCGTGCTCTAACAGTAAGATAACTGACCCCTCCTCCGTGCTCTAACAGTAAGATAACTGACCCCTCCTCCATGCTCTAACAGTAAGATAACTGACCCCTTCTCCCTGTTATAATGGTAAGATAACTGACAACTACTCAATGTTCTAACAGTAAGTTAACTGACCCCTCCTCCTTGTTCTAAAAGTATGATAACTGACTACTACTCCCTGCTCTAACAATAAGATAACTGACTACTCCTCCCTGCTCTAACAGTAAGATAACTGACCCCTCCTCTATGCTCTAACAGTAAGGTAACTGACTCCTCCTACTTGTTCTAACAGTAAGATAACTGACTCATCCTCCCTGCTATAATAGTAAGATAACTGACCCCTTCTCCCTCCTCTAACAGTAAGATAACTGACAACTCCTCCCTGCTCTAACAGTACGATAACTGACCCCTCCTCCTTCTTCTAACAGTAAGATAACTGACCCCTCCTCCTTGTTCAAACAGTCAGATAACTGACTCTGCCTCCCTGCTTTAACAGTAAGATTGCTGACTACTACTCCCAGTTCTAACAGTAAGATAACTGACCCCTCCTCCTTGTTCTAACAGTATGATAACTGACTACTACTCCCTGCTCTAACAGTACGATAACTGACCCCTCCTCCTTCTTCTAACAGTAAGATAACTGACCCCTCCTCCTTGTTCAAACAGTCAGATAACTGACTCCGCCTCCCTGCTTTAACAGTAAGATTGCTGACTACTACTCCCAGTTCTAACAGTAAGATAACTGACCATTCCTCCCTGTTATAACAGTAAGATAACTGCCTACTACTCCCTGTTCTAATAGTAAGATAACTGACTCCACCTCCCTGTTCTAACATTAAGACAACTGACCCCTCCTCCCTGTTCTAACATTAAGACAACTGACCCCTCCTCCCTGCTCTAACAGTAAGACAACTGACCCCTTCTCTGTGCTCTAACAGTAAAATAACTGACCCCTTCTCTGTGCTCTAACAGTAAGATAACTGACCCTTCTCCCTGTTATAACAGTAAGATAACTGCCTACTACTCCCTGTTCTAATAGTAAGATAACTGACTCCACCTCCCTGCTCTAACAGTAAGATAACTGACTCCACCTCCCTGCTCTAACAGTAAGATAATTGATCCCTCCTCCCTGCTCTAACAGTAAGATAACTGACTACTACTCCCTGCTCTAACAGTAAGATAACTGACCCCTCCTCTATGCTCTAACAGTAAGGTAACTGACTCCTCCTACTTGTTCTAACAGTAAGATAACTGACTCATCCTCCCTGCTATAATAGTAAGATAACTGACCCCTTCTCCCTCCTCTAACAGTAAGATAACTGACAACTCCTCCCTGCTCTAACAGTACGATAACTGACCCCTCCTCCTTCTTCTAACAGTAAGATAACTGACCCCTCCTTCTTGTTCAAACAGTCAGATAACTGACTCCGCTTCCCTGCTTTAACAGTAAGATTGCTGACTACTACTCCCAGTTCTAACAGTAAGATAACTGACCCCTCCTCCTTGTTCTAACAGTATGATAACTGACTACTACTCCCTGCTCTAACAGTACGATAACTGACCCCTCCTCCTTCTTCTAACAGTAAGATAACTGACCCCTCCTCCTTGTTCAAACAGTCAGATAACTGACTCCGCCTCCCTGCTTTAACAGTAAGATTGCTGACTACTACTCCCAGTTCTAACAGTAAGATAACTGACCATTCCTCCCTGTTATAACAGTAAGATAACTGCCTACTACTCCCTGTTCTAATAGTAAGATAACTGACTCCACCTCCCTGTTCTAACATTAAGACAACTGACCCCTCCTCCCTGTTCTAACATTAAGACAACTGACCCCTCCTCCCTGCTCTAACAGTAAGACAACTGACCCCTTCTCTGTGCTCTAACAGTAAAATAACTGACCCCTTCTCTGTGCTCTAACAGTAAGATAACTGACCCTTCTCCCTGTTATAACAGTAAGATAACTGCCTACTACTCCCTGTTCTAATAGTAAGATAACTGACCCCACCTCCCTGTTCTAACATTAAGACAACTGACCCCTCCTCCCTGTTCTAACATTAAGACAACTGACAACTCCTCCCTGCTCTAACAGTAAGACAACTGACCCCTTCTCCGTGCTCTAACAGTAAAATAACTGAACCCTTCTCTGTGCTCTAACAGTAAGATAACTGACCCTTCTCCCTGTTATAACAGTAAGATAACTGCCTACTACTCCCTGTTGTAATAGTAAGATAACAGACCCAACCTCCCTGTTCTAACATTAAGACAACTGACCCCTCCTCCCTGCTCTAACAGTAAGATAACTGACCCCTTCTCTGTGCTCTAACAGTAAAATAACTGACCCCTTCTCTGTGCTCTAACAGTAAGATAACTGACCCTTCTCCCTGTTATAACAGTAAGATAACTGCCTACTACTCCCTGTTCTAATAGTATGATAACTGACTCCACCTCCCTGCTCTAACAGTAAGATAACTGACCCCTCCTCCCTGCTCTAACAGTAAGATAACTGATCCCTCCTCCCTGCTCTAACAGTAAGATAACTGACCACTCCTCCCTGCTTTAACAGTAAGATTGCTGATTACTACTCCCAGTTCTAACAGTAAGATAACTGACTCCGCCTCCCTACTCTAACAGTAAGAAAACTGACCCCTCCTCCTTGTTCTAACCGTAAGATAACTGACTCCTCCTCCCTGCTCTAACAGTAAGATAACTGACTACTACTCCCTACTCTAACAGTAAGATAGCTGACTACTACTCCCTGCTTTAACAGTAAGATAACTGACCCTTCTCCCTGTTATAACAGTAAGATAACTGCCTACTACTCCCTGTTCTAATAGTAAGATAACTGACTACTCCTCCCTGCTCTAACAGTAAGATAACTGATTACTAATCCCTACTCTAACAGTAAGATAACTGACTACTCCTCCCTGCTCTAACAGTAAGATAACTGACTACTTCTCCCTGCTCTAACAGTACATTAACTCACCCTTCCTCCAAGTTGTAACCTGTAAGATAACTCACCCCTCCTCTCTGATATCACAGGAAGATACCTCAGCCCTCCTTCCTACTTTAACAATTAGATAACTTACCCTCCTCCCTGTTGTAACCAGTAAGATAACCCATCCTTCCTCCCTGTTGTTACCAGTAAGATAACTCACCCCTCCTCCCAGTTGTAACCAGTACAATTACTCACGCCTCCTCCCTGTTGTAACCAGTAAGATATCTCACCCCTCCTCCCTGTTGTAACCAGTACAATAACTCACCCCTCCTCCCTGTTGTAACCAGTACAATAACTCACCCCTCCTCCCTGCTATAACAATAAACTCACCCCTCCTCCCTATTGTAACCAGTACAATAATTCTCCCCTCCTCCTTTCTATAACAGTACAATAACTCACCCCTCCTCCCTGTTGTAACCAGTAAGATAACCACCAGCTTGTTCCTGTTGACACGGCTATACTGATGATGTAGACTAATAGAACAAGAACACATACAATGAATCCCCCTGCCGCCTTCATGTAGGTACCATAAGTACGGAAGTTCACCTTCCCTTTACTGGTTTCCTCTGCTACAATCAGTCTGCCCTCTGAAAGACAGGTAAACACAATACAATTTATGCTACTGTAAAATCACATATTTTTGTGGGGTCAAATTTTCATGGTTTGAGGATAAAATACTGGGTTGGGGGATTTGATTTCGTGGATGAACTGTTTAGTAGTTGTGCATATGAAAACTTATATTTTGTGGTGGACATGAATTCATGGGTCTCTTCATACCTCGAAAACAACGAAAATTAAACCCCACGAAAATTAGTGATTTCACAGTATAAGAAAAAAATTTTTAAAAATGAAATATTTTAGGAAATGTAAATTAAATATCTAAGAGTTCATAAATTTCAATATAAATTCATAAACTTTGAAATAAATTCCTTGACTATTTACATATAGTACATGCAAACTTGTAATTCATTAATTACAATGTGCATACTTTGTAAGAATTTGTTTTTAATTATTATTAAATGCATACATGTACTTTTATGAATGTACTTTATATATTAATCAGTTCTATTAATTCATTAATAAATGATGAGTTTGAACAAATAAATTTACATGCTTTTCAAGTATTCAAGAAAAAAGAAAAGTAAAAAAATCAATCAATTATTGATCTTACTGTTGGTTTTCTCCTCCTGTGTGTTGCTGATGACAGACACCTGTTTCTCTATCCCCTGGTACTCTTTTCCCCCCGAGTCCAGTATCCCTGTCTGTGACTTTGGACTCATGGACAGCTCGGATTCTCCAGATCTCACAGAGGATGTCCTGTTACGGTTATTGTTGCAGTTCCCATGATGGAAAAGTGGCTTTTCTTTGAGACTTGTTGGTGATGTTGGGTCTTCCATGTCAAAATCAATAATGAAAATATGTGTTACAATATTTTAGCAAATGAAAAAAAAAATCACTAAATTGAATTCTTAATGTAAGTTGATATTATCTTGACTTTTGAATTTGATCTCTCAAAGAGTAATACAAAAATATATAAATGGTACATGTATTTGTCTCTTTCAACCATTTCCTAGATTTTAGTAAATATAAATTCTGAAAGTTGAGAAGTATAGATATCCTGGCATATAAAAAGCGCTAATTGATAGAAGAATGAAAATTGATTACTATAATAAATCTGCACCAAAGATGTAGGGCCCTTAAAATCATATAAAGCCTACAGGCCCGAGGTGCAACAATTGTGTGTGGTAGTCAGGCAGGTTAGCTCAGTTTGTAGAACATCTGTATAGAGATCAGGGGACTGGGATTTAAATCCTGGTTTGGTCAATGGCATTTTCTACCTTCCTCTTACATGTGAACATCTTGACATGAAGACTAACATGTAATGGCCAAAATTTCTGTCCTCACCTCCTGCCTTTTCCTCCCCGTCCTTTTGTTTGTAGTACCTGTTGACTCACCTTCAGCCTTTTCCTCCCCCTCCTTTTGTTTGTAGTACCTGTTGACTCACTTTCTGCCTTTTCCTCCCCCTTCTTTGTACCTGTTGATTCACCTTCTGCCAGTTCCTCCTCCTTTTGTTTGTAGTACCTGTTGACTCACCTCCTGCCTTTTCCTCCCCCTCCTTTTGTTTGTAGTACATGTACCTGTCAACTCACCTTCTGCCTTTTCATCCCCCTCCTTTTGTTTGTAGTACATGTACCTGTTAACTCACCTTCTGCCTTTTCATCCCCCTCCTTCTGTTTGTAGTACCTCTTGACTCACCTTCTGCCTTTTCCTCCTCCTCCTTCTGTTTGTAGTACCTGTTGATGAGGCTGGAGTACTCCCCCTCCTGCTTCATCAGATCCTCGTGTTTTCCTCTCTCTGTAATCATCCCATCCTTGATGACAATAATCCCGTCACAGGAACTCAGGTACTGTAGATAGAAATTAGAGACTAGAAAAATTCTCAACATCTAAACAACATTAATAATGACTAGAGTTGTCCTGATTAGGCTAAAGCCAACTGTGGGGCACAGGCAAAGATTGCCTCTCAAAAAGTATCCACAGATGCATGTCTGCAAGTTTGATTTTGAATAACCCTTAAGATACTGTAGGCTGAGAGGTGACCTGGATGCTATTCATCTAACATTGCAATTTCAGACACACACACAGTTGGATGGACTAACAAATGTATGGAAACTGAAAATATCTAGTCAAAAAAGCCTGTATATGACAATCTTGTATAATGCACCCAGTTAATACAGTGGAAAATGACAGATGTACATATAGAAAGATAAACAAGTAATTCATAACTTGGCCTAAGATTTCAATCCAAACTCAATAAAAAGTTCTTTTATAAGAAGATAGGGAAATTCCCAACTAAAATTGGAAATGTTGAACTTTTTCATTGCTTAATATTTGGTTTCTACCTTATGATTAAATATTAATCTCAGGTAATTAATTAATAAAAGCAAAAATTTGTTTGTTGAGTTAAAGCTTAAAATCATTGCTTATAATATACATACATGTATGTACATGTACTGGAAATTACACACAGCTAGACTAAACCTGTTAATAATTCTTGACAATGTCAAGAAAAATTCAAATTCACTAATCCACATGAATACTTGCAAAGATATGCTTTTCATACCTGAAGTTGATGTGTAACAAACAGGACAGTTTTATTCTTCAGTGCTTTGAGGAGACACTCTGTAAAGATATGTCTGCCCACATGTATATCTACTGCTGAGAGGGGGTCATCCATCAGGTAAATATCCTTATCAGCATAGAGAGCCCGGGCCAGCGACAGTCTCTGTTTCTGCCCACCACTCATATTTATGCCACGCTCACCAATCTATATTTTAAAATATAAAAATTTAACACACAATAAAATTTTAAAATTTTTTGAAACCTTAAAGAAAATAAGCTATTTAATGCAGTAGCAGATTTTAATTGGAACAATACTCTCATGCCTATCCATTTATATGCAATGCCTCAGCCCCTATAGGGCCTCACATCTTCTCTAAAGAGTTGAAGGTTCCTTGGACATCATTTCTAATTCATGCATTTATCTTTCTATTCATGCATGGTTGCCTGCGTGGCGCAGTGGTTAGAGCGTTTGCTCTAGAGTCGCGGAGTAAGGAGTTGATCCTTATGTCGCAGGTTCGAATCCCACTGTGGGACGTGGAGACTGGTCCTTCGGATGAGACCTTATAAACCGAGGTCCCGTGTCGCAGTAGGTGCTGGCACAAAAAAGATCCCTCACTGCTCAATGGCCCTGAGTGCCGAGTAAAGGTCAAAATTTGCAGCTCTCCACCAAGAAGTGGTGGCGTCTCCATATGAGTGAAATATTCTTGAGAGGGACGTTAAAACAATAAACAAACAATCTATTCGTGCAACAATTGCAAAGAATGAAATCAAGCAAGGAATTTGAACATAACTTCTACAGATATCAGACTGGCCATTGTATATTTCATACATCTGAATACTTTGTTTTAACAATTTCGTAAAAAATGGTATCATAAATACATATTATAAACATACAGTCATATACATGTACACCTGAAGATTTGATATTTACAATACACATATACCTCTGTTTCATCTCCAGATACAAAGGTTTCCAGATCCTCCTGCAGACAGCATGCTTCAATGGCTGCATTATATCTGCAAAACAACATTTGTTAGGGAAAATTTCAGCAGATTTTATGCCTCTATATTGATATCCATTGGCTTATCAGTCATAGCCTACATCACACTGACCTGTCTTCATGGTACATCTCCCCAAACAGGATGTTTTCCCTGATGGTGGCATTAAGTATCCAGGGCTGCTGAGAGACGTAGGCTTTACTTCCACCTACTGCCACTTTACCAGCAGTTTTCACCATCTATAGAGGAAAAGGAAAATTTATATTGTTGCCAAAGAAATTTCATGTCTGATTCAATGTTCTAAAAATTTGTTTATTGTCAATTTTAAACTAATGCTAAACAAACTGTTTAAATAATAAAAAAAAAAATAACATTGACAATTAAGCTATTTTGTTTTGGCATTATTTAAAATTTGCATGAAATGGCAGTTTGACAGCTTTATCACATTTACAAATATGAAAGATATTAAATCTCACAGATTACCACAAAATCTTTACTTACCCTTCCTAATATGGCTGATATCAAGGAGCTCTTCCCTGATCCTACACCCCCACAAACTCCTATCAGCTTACCCTGTCAAAATAAATCATCAATTATGTATTAACTACATGTATTATAATATAATTTCAGTTTTGTCTTTCAAGTATCAATTGTGAGAGTAATGTCCCTTTTAATGCCTCACATACCTTTTCCAGTGTCAGATCAATATCTAGGAGGGTTGGAGGAGCTACATATTCACCCCCCTCTGTGCTCTTATTTAGGCCTTCTTTTTCCTCATCTTTAACTACATGTTTTCCATTAGGCACTGAAATTTACACAAATTAAAGTTTATAGGAAATCTGAGCAGATTATCCAATGAAGTGAATCTGAATACAGTCAAACCTCATTATCTTGAACTCAATGGAATTGAGGAAAAACTTTGAGAAATCCAAGTGCTCGAGATATTGAGGGTAAAATACAAGAGGAAAAGTGATTGGGACTTCTTGATGACTTTGACATATCCATGGTATTTGAGATACCGAAGTAATTTGTTAGCAAAGACTGTCATCAACAAGATAGATACCTAAATAAAAATCTTTTAATAAAGACTTCTTCTTCCAATAAAATTTAATGACAATATCTCTAGCTATAATTTGTAAATGGTCTTACATTCATAACAGTAATGATCTCTATAGCAACTTACCTGTGATCTGGATATTCAGAAGCCCTATGATTGTACAGTAATGATCTCTCTCTCTATGTATATATAGTCACTGATCTGTGATCTGGATATTCAGAAGCCCTATATGATTGTACAGTAATGATCTCTATAGTCACTGACCTGTAATCTGGATATTCAGAAGCCCTATGATTGTCCAGTAATGATCTCTATAGTAACTGACCTGTGATCTGGATATTCAGAGCCCTATGATTGTACAGTAATGATCTCTATAGTCACTGACCTGTGATCTGAACATCCAGAAGTCCTACATTCTGTACTATGACTTCCTGGTCCCAGGCAAAACAAGCCTTCTTCATCACTACTACATATTTTGGATTGTTAATCTGGGAAGTGTGTGGCTGAATCTCCTCCATCATAAGAATACTCTGTCATATTGCAACATAAAAATCTAAATTTTGGTTCTATTTTTAAAAAATTATATTTAAATTTTGAAATTTGAATATATTTTTAATTATCAAACTCTAAATATAATGGCATTCAGCCTTATTGTGAAGAATTGAAACTTAATGAGGCCTATTTCTTACCAGCTAAATAAAATGGAGAACCAAATAGTGAATACATGTACATGGAATCATCATGGTTTCTTGGGGGACCAATGTTTGTGGATTTCTTGGGTCATCCTTGCCCATGAATCTACATACCCATGAACGTTTATTTTGTAAACATTGAATCAATGATCTATCGTAGAAATAAGTAACCCACGAAATACGTCCCCATGAACAAATAAAATTTTGCTTGCCCACGAACATTGACCCCCATGAATTAAAATGATTCCACAGTATTGTAAATATAGTAAACTAGCAAATAGTATTCTAAACAAATAAGACTGTAATTTGGATCTGATATGACAGGTAGTTACTTCTTCCAAATTAACTCCATTATCATAAAGGACCATCACTAGTTATACTAAATCATGAAGTACAGTATTTATCTCAATAAAGCATGAGGGAAAATTTTTGCATCTGATTTTGTTGTTTGCTCTTATTCCCTTTCTAACAGAAGAAATTTTACTCAGATTAATATGTAACTAAAAGAAATAAACTGGTTAAATGGCTAAATAAGTACGGTTTTTTTAAACAGTCATTTCTTGAAACTGTTATAGGCAAATTCCAAAGGTTGTTATAGCTTTGAATCACATGGTTAAGTTAAATAACATTTGGTGAAAAAATCCTTCTAGACAGATGTTGAAAAGTTACTTGCAAGTTTAAAGTGTGGACAGAATGACATTTTAAAACATGCATGATTTTTTTTGTCAGTACATAAATAAATTTATCATATACTCAATGCAGGACTAGAGAATGTAAAACATTCTCCCACTCATGAGGAAAGACTAAACAAAAATAGAGCCTAAATTTTTATTTTAAAAAAAATATGCTTTGTCAGTTTTGCCCCTAAATTATGATTTTATTTTTCTAGATGGAGCTTTTGTTAAAGATTGATTCATTTACTGGTAACATTTTCCCAGAAAATGTGTGAAAGTGGTTACCTTTTCCCCTTCAAAAATGAGTTATTCACCCCCCCCCCCCCATTAAGTGTTTTAAGTGGATGTAGGTTGACTTCCAGCTAAAATTATCTTCACTGCCTTCATGCACATTTAAAAGAAATCAAGTAAACAAAATAGTGGAAATTTCTTAACAAGATATCAATAAGTAAAATATATCAAGTAAAATGTGCAACATGGGTAATGCTTAATGTAAAAGGCATACTGAACATGATGGGTGGAGAAATTAGTAATATCATCAATGATGTGCATTCCAGGACTCAATAAGTGTATATTTTTTGGAATGAATTAAAGAGGATTCACTGGCAAGCATTGGAAATTAATTTTGAATAAGCCTATAAATGGAAATGTGATGTTTTTTATGTTTGATTATAAAATGTGCATTGGTTTGAATTTTTTGGAAAAGATGATTAAGGACTTCTTGTGAATTTTTAGATTTGCTACTAAGTTTGATAAAATAAATAAAACAAGTACCCTAAAATCATGAAAGTAAGCCAAGTTTACTGTCTCTGAATAACTCTTCATGATACATGTATGTAGATTTCCAAGTACCAATGACCCTTAAAGTTTTCAAAGGCTAGATTATAAGCAGTTTAATAATTTAAGATTAATTCAAGATTTATTACAAGTATGATTTTAATTTCCATTTCCTTTGAAAGAATGAAAATAATGGTACATATAGCTTTAGCATGAAGATTTGAGTGATTGCAATTCAGAAGCAACAGATCGTAAAGACAAATTATTTTGATTAAACAGGCAATGTGCACAACCCATAATAACAGTATTGGTCAATGAGCAACACAAACCTGATGATCTGCAATTTTAAATACTTTGCATAGCATAGGTAACAAATATGCTTACTACTGAGTGCTTTGGAGTTTTTTTCTCCTTCATTTTTTTTATAAATTTGTTTAAGATATCCCTGACATTTTCATCTCAATTCAATGTGAAGGATTTCAATGTAATATTTATCAATATTAATCTGTATATTCATAAATTAATAATATACAAGTAAACTCAAGTAATTTTTCTAAATGTCAATGACTTAAAATTCATTTCAATTTTAAAATAGTTCTGAATGTACATTTGTGCTGAAATATGCAGGTACTGATTTTGTGGCTAACTTCCTAACAGTAGCCTTGTGTCTCACTTTCAAAAATATTCATCATTTCTGGCTTATTTTCAAAATTTTAGGGTATATGAGAATTATATGAAGTACCTTAACCCTTTCAGAACAAACTCTGACTTCAGACAATTGCTTGACTAGCTGAGCCATGTGGTTTAAAACTGGTTTTAATTTGCTGTTAATAGCTACCAGAACAAAAGCCTAAAAGAAAAGAGAATATAGTGGAATGAAGATTTTCTAAAACATTATTCCAAAAGGGTTCCTGTCACTGGGTTCCTCAGCCTGCCAGCAGCCAGTTTTGGTTGTCAAGGCACAAGCTCCCCTCACTCACAATTCTGTATTTCACATTTAAAAATTAATATATTTGTCTTAAAAAATCAAGGAACCTTTTCAACTAATTAATTTTCTTTTTTGCAGAAGATTTAGAAATGATACAGAAATTCATATCTATTATTGAAACACCTCCTATATAATTTAATATAGGATATTTCTACTTTTAGACACAATACAGATTGCAGAATGAAGTTGAGCTATGCACCTGGACATGTGAAGTTAAATCTTAAAGTTACTGATCCTGTTTTTACCTTGCACCTCTTGGTGGATACATAAACATCAGCTAAAGCCTTGACAGCATAAGGAATGACTCCCAGAGAGAATCGCATAGCATTAAACACTGCTATCATAGTAAAGGCCTAAAACATTCACATGTTGTCAAAACATTAAACCTTAATAAATTAATAATATTAATAATAAAACAAACTGAAAAAATTAAAACTTTTGTGTACATACATGAACATATATAAACAATTAAATCTATGTCTATATACATACAAACCCTCAAACTTATATCAAGTGAAGAAATATACATTATACATGTAAAATCATAACAAAAGGCCCATCGGCCTTGACAGTCACCTGATTTTATATTTAACATTTCAACACACTGAGACTTCTGAGTGACCTAGGAGTCATATGCAAACTCTTTTTGCTGCTACAAAAATATTGCTGAATCATACATTTTATAATTTTCTTTCTTTTTAAATAGAAAACTTCTTGTTCTCTTTTTTAAAATATGTAAAAATTTTATTAGAAGGGATGGGGTTGGGTTTGGGTGGTAAGTATAATTATATTGGGCAACTGGTATGATGTATCAAGATTTTTTTTCATTATAATGATACAAACAGCTTGCCTGCTAGACATAGAGAGAAGATGGGATTTTGTCATTTTTCTTTTGGGGGGAGGGGATACAAATATAACGCATATTAACATTTCCAACCTATCCCTATCCCGGGGCCAAAACCCTGTACCTTTGGGTAAAGAATTTCAAGTTCTGGTAGAGGGCTTAATGCTCATCACAATTAGGCAAAATGTCAAAATCTCTGCCTGCTATATATCATGGCATAAAGAAGATTTTTCAAAGATATAACATATTTCAAATGTATGGCTAATCTAGCCTTTCACATGAGCGGGGAGGAGGATGAACTCTGCATTAAGTTTAAAAAAGTTTAAGAATAACACAGGACAAATAAAAACAGATACGATATGTCATCTGAGTGACATAAGTTACACAAAAATCTTTATATGTACAGGTATTCCTAATACATATTTTCCTTGTGCCTACCTGTGCTGCAGAGAGGGGATTCCCTGTCATGACATGGGCTGTGATGACAAACACAGAGGCCATGACAGGAACCATTGGGGCCACTGAGGTACTGATACTGTTTACATATGCTGCTTTCTCCAGGACCTTTCGCTCCTGTCTTCTGATACCTAGGGATTCCAATTTACATATTAATAAAAGTTAAAGATCTAACTTTAACTTTAAAATAAAATACATGTATATAAAATTTAATACAGTTTCTATAATCATTGTAGAGAGGGTCATTCTTGAATTCCCACTACACTGACTGCATGTAATTCATATAAACAATAAAGGTCCATGAATCCTTTAAATGTGTTGCAGCCTATGATACAAAATATAAGCACTGTCAATATCCATTGCTCATTGATCCTAAATAGGTTTTTTACTAAATACAATAACTGAGAGAGTCACAAACATTATTGTGACATGTACATAACAGATACTTTCTACTGAATGCAGTAAAAATCTCAGACATAAAACTTAATAAAAACTCTTTCACATTCAATGAATAATAAATGGGTACTCTTCTTATCACTTTTTTAGTCAACATGTATTGAAACTTTGATAAAAATAAACATCTCATAAGGTCATTGAACTCAACTTGTCCATATAAGGAAGAACAGTATGACTTCATTTAAAATCTTGAAATACCTGCAATGGTTTTGGCAAATGATTTTTCCCAAGCATACATCTTAATTAATTTGATACAATTCAGTAATTCTGTCATCATCCTTACCTAAAAAGTAAAACAAATATTCAGCAAGTCAATGTATTCATAAAACAAGTTCTTTTCCCCCTGATAAATACAACTTTTTAAAATGAAAGAGCTCAAATTATTTAAAAAAAAAATCCAATACACTGTACAAAAAGCTATGCTGTTACGTATATGTGATACTTGGGAGGGTTTCCAGATAAATATTGGGCAGCTAATGAGATATTCATACTTACTCGCTTATCTGTGATGACAATTCCCTTTCTCCTAAAATGAGCTGTGAATTTGCTGATAAAAGCCTGCAATATTACACACAAAAACTGATCTACTATCAAATATCAATGTTAATTTTTTCTGGCCTTATAAACAGGGTTACTGAAATAGTGGTGATCTTTGACATCCATTTTCACTTTAAATGTACAGTTCATACCATGACAGAAAAAAAGAGCAAAAAATATAGATTTCAAGCACACATGTTTGTCCTCAGAAAGGCATTAAATAATGCCAACTGTTCGAATCTTTTCAGGAAAGCTAAATACGTCCCTTCCTTCCAAAAATGAAAGTAAAAATATAAGAAAGAGCAGTTTAGTTACCATAAATGGATAAAACATGATGTAAGTAGCACTGCCCACAAAAGCCCAGGGACCAATCAGAAATGCTGTGTAGATTATTCCATACAATAAAATTACTGGTCCACCAATCAGAAGGGGACCAATAGCAAAGGCGTCATACAGTCTCTGTCCATCATTGCTACAGATGTTCACAAGCTGAAACAGGTACAAAAGAAGTTATATTCAAATTTCATAACATAAACTAGTACATACAGTTGAACTTTGCTATCTCGAACACTGATATCTCGAATACCATGGGTATGTCCAAGTGATTTGGAAGTCCCAACTACTTATTCTTTAAGTATTTTACCCCAGATATGTCCAATCCTCAGATATCTCAAAGTTTTTCCTCGGTCCCGTTGAGTTCGAGATAACAAGGTTTGACTGTATCTTATAAGGGAGTGTTTTTGTGGTAATTGAAAAAAATAACAGTATATATGAATGTATATTTATTAGAAACTTATAGAAATCATTCTTGGACTATCATTCAAGCATAAGTATGGATCATATAGTTGCTAAATTAATCAGATTCCAAATGAAAATGTAAGAGTTAAGAAAATAATTACCCTGCAGTTGTCTGCAAAAATTATTTCAACAAAAACATAGACAAATGAAAATATGAAATATTTGACTGCAACATACTTCACCAACTGTTTTGTCTTTTAAGCCACGAAGTCGTAATATTTTTCCATACAGCATGCTCAATACAGCTCCTCTCATGCGTAAACCTGCAGGAAGTAATTTAAATGAATAGAAAAAGAAGAACAATTTGTCAATATTAGTTAATATATTATACAGCAAGAAAACCTTGCAAGGACTGTAACTGATCCTATTTTTCCAATAGCAACTATAAATCCATATAAACTTAATTTTTAGATTTTCCTTCTGATTTGTAACTGTAAAACAAGGGACAGTTGTGTGTGTGTGTGTTTTTAAATTTAAAATATCTTAATTTTTATACACCAATTGCTGGACTTTTTTTCACATGTTAATGCAATGAGTATATAAACCATTTTTTCAAGATCCATTACATGTACCAAAAAAATTACTATAAAAAGGCTTGTACATATGTTCTGATATTTTTTTTTTAAAATTGACCCAGGTTCTTTTTCCTGGTAATTTTTTGCCCCAGGTTCTTTTTTTCTGGTAATTTTTTAATCCATTTTTAAAACCACTGTATCAAATGCAGGGGGTAACTGAAAGGGGAGGTGGGGTGAGGATGTAAAAATTAGCTTTCTGTGGTTTAATGACATACAAACCTGTAGTATAATTAGTCACCCAGCCAAGGGCAAAAAACATTGACCGACAGAATTCCATAGCGGCCATAAGAATCACCAGGCCGATTCCAAAGCCAATGTTTGTGTTACCAGCTGAAAGGTCATCCAAAATCCTTCTCAACACAAAGGCCTGACACAAAAAAGGAAGATTACATATGCACACAAATAATGTGAATCATGAATAAAGTGCCCCGCCACAGCATGATACGCCCGTCAAATATTGTTCAATTATCATAAACAGTCTAAAGTGCAAGAAAATCATGTTAACCTTGATACAAAGATTTCAACGATTTTTCCATTCCTTATAATGTTTGATGTACATACATCTCCTGTGGTGTAGGTATTAATTATAACAAATAATACATCATATATTTCTCCACTGGTTTTGTTAGAGCTGAACAAATGTTTGTCTGCAGCTTTGTTTATTGTATATATTATGATGGATTAACAATGCTACAGCCTAATAAAACATCAAAACAAATTATGTTTATTCTTTAGACTATAAAGAACGAGTGCACTTATGGGCCCGGTAAAATATGAAAAAATGAAGAATCAAATTAAGCATAATATTTCATCTCAGATCATTAATTGATATCTAAACCATAAGATTCAACAAATTTTATCGGTGAAATTCATGAATATACAAAGAGCAAAGCCATACAATGTGGTAGGGGTCAGCCGACATTCATGATTTTCTATAGTAAATCGAGGACGGTCATTCATTTCAAAGCTTTTGTTTTCTGTCAACCTAACATTGTACAAACTTGTACAAATGACAAAAAACGCATTTTACATTTATAAAACTTGTGTGAAAGTAGGAAATTTGTACAAGATTAGGCTTGTACTTAAAATATTAAAAATGTATGAAAAGTTCAATGTTTTTCCTATAGCAAATGAGAGCTATTTACCTGTATGACCTTTGTTGAACCCACCCGTGGAATAAATTATTTAAAATACCGGTAGTCACGTGAGTTCTACCCAGGTAAACATTCCTCAAAGTCAAAGGTGCTCACTGTAAAACAGCTGTAAAAGATAGTCACGTTTTGTATCATTATATCGAAGTCGTGCCGCATAGAGAAGTTTGCATGTATTTGGTTTTTTGAACAAGGGAGGGTTAGGAGAGTTTAGTGTCATTAAAATGTCATCATACATAAAAGAGTCAAACATTTTTAACAATCATGAAAGACAATGGTACCGGTAATGAAAGCCACCTAAATACACTTTTTTCCCTTTTAAAATTTAGGGAAATAATGTTAATACTTATTGTATTACTTCAAATGCAAGCGCGCAAATTTCTTAGTTTGATCACTATGGCTACAGGCATCTATACAACTTCATTTGATTTTTTTTTTCAGGTGAAATAGCTCAAGATTATCTTCCGGAAAACACGCCTGTCAATGATCCACCATCAGATTGTTCAATGTCCGATTTAAATGTCTCCTCCCCTTGATTTAAATAAACGAAACTCAAAATAGGTCGGTACGACTTTTCCGGATTTGGGGTATTTAAAATCTTCATTTGTTTCAAATCCATGCTGATTTAGGTGATGTTTTAAAGTGATTTTAATTAGAAATATCCACTTGTGTTTAACTATTACCAAAAAAGAACAATTTGGTAATATATTCTAAAGTAAAATGACACTGAAAAAGGGCCCATTAAGCATTGCTTAAGTGCACTTGTCCTTTGTCATCTTTAATAGTGAGACATGACACTCTGCAAATTGTTGTAAAGATATAAAAATTAAAAATATATATATATATATATATACAATATATAATTAGTTTTAATTATGTTATACAATATCAAATTAGTTTTAATTATATTTACAATGTCAAATTAGTTTAAATTACTTTACATCAAATTTATCTTGAAAGTTAGACTAGCCAACAAAACTATTCAATTAATAGACTGATTCCTAAGCCCAATTCCCAAGAGATATAGATAACACCTGCTTGATCAGAGATGCTCTACCAGTTATCTACTTACACTAAACTCATTAATTTCTCTCTAATTTGACATGCTATTTTCTGTTATCAAAATTCTTCTTGACCAGTGCTTGATAATTACACCCCTGGGAGAGGTGGATTTTCTCTTATAACATTACATTTGTTACAGATTACTGTAAAGTATATAATGAAAAAAATAAGTATTTTCTTGATTTAATATTTTTTAAATAAGGATACTGCAATACTCTTACATCTTTCGGGATTGTGTAATTTAAAAGTTAAAAGCATATTTTTAAAAAAAATTTCACTTAAATTAAAGGTCACAGTGACCTTGACATAGGTCGCTACACACCCTCTACCTAAGATGCATATATTGGTTAAGTTTGATGATTCTAGGTCTAATAGTTTTCTAGTTATGAGCCGGACAGGATTTTTCCATATTTGGCCATAGCATCTTAATTAAAGGTCAGAGCGACCTACTTTTAATCCGTGACACACTTTCTACCCAAGATGTATCAGCTGACAAAGTTTGTTAATTCTAGGCCTAATAGTATTAAAGTTATGAGCCGGACACGAAAAAGCTAACAGACGGACGGATGAACGGCAAGGACGGACATGAACGCTATAATAAAATACGTACTGTCTTAAGACGGGCGTATTAAAACCATGTTACTTAAAAATCCATACCGGTGCAGCAAAACTGAAGGTCATAGAGATGATGAAGGTCAACCCCCCAAAAATAACTCTGGTCCTTCCCGCTCTGAACAAAGTCCGTGCAAAAGAGGCTTTTTCTGGACCTTTTGTCTTCAATTCTCTCTTCCATATTCTCTCAAGCCTAAAAATATTGTATATATATAAAATTCATAATGGATTCAGCAGTATAAGAAAAAGTCAAAAAGAATTCTAACAAATTTTCAAAGACTTCCATTTCCAAATTAAGGCAATACTTATAATCACACTACATATTTATTTTTCCATCACAAAAAAATTAAAAATTTAATCCTTAATTGAGCCAAACAATACTTAAATGTGTTTATTAGTATAGTTAGGTTTTCCATTTTCATAAAATCGTTCCCTTAAATGATTTTAACCACATAAAAAAAATCATGATACATGCAAACTTTTGCAATAGAATTGCCTGCAAAAGTATTTGTGAAAATTTCCAGAAAAAAAAGAAAAGTGTGTGGCATACATGTTAACCTCATGTGATGAAAAAGCTGGAGACTCAGATATCAAAAGATGTCGCATTGTGGGCGGTGTTTCATGCCTCAATTTGGAGAAAATATAATTAAATATATGTAAATATGACCTCAGTGCAACAAATAAAATTTTGTTTCAAAAATGGTCACCCAAACAGACCAAAATTTGATTTTGTAGGAAAGTGGTAGATTTTTTTAAAAAGAGCAGTGGGTGGGAGTAAAAGAAGCAGTAAACTTCCACTAAAGCGATAGAATTAACATGTATGTCTGAGGTGATTCAAGAGTGCTAACATAAAAAGCTACGCGAAGAAAAAAAAATTTAATATATAATGTATATTTCTGTGTTTGTGTGTGAACTAGAAAATCATTCACCTTTCTGCATTGACCTCTGATCGGTTTACGTCAGGACACCTCATGTGTTGTAAAAATTCTGTGCCTTTCCTGTTGACTTTCCACATGATTGGAGTCAGCCATGCATAGGTCAACAAAGAAAAGAAACCAGCGGTTGCTTCTGGTAACTCATCCTTTGGCCTGCAGAGTAAATGACAACAATTAAAATTCCAGACAGATGAGGCATATTTTTTTTTTTACCAGTGGGGATAATGAAATATTTTCCATCAGATCATGACTTTATGAATCATATTTGCTTTTTTAGCTAATTTACATCTTTCACCTTGAGCACAGTTATAAATAACAGAGCAAATGCATTTTTTAAAATTATGTCACTCAAAGCAGTTGACAAAACAAGCACAAAAGGCTTATATACATGTAGGTAAATAATCATTCATTGCAATCAAGATTTCTTACTCTTTAATACAGAATTGTATGATAACAATTCTTAGAAAGTTAACAGAAGAGGGTAAAAAAGGCATGCATCATCTCACGTTTTCTTAAATCTGATAGGAATTAAAGACTTCATGGCTTGTTTGTATCTTCCTCTCCTGTGGGGATAACGAATATCCAGTCCCGAGGTTGCCTGACACTCCACATCAAGAAGTCTGAAATCAAGCATACTTCTGTATCAGGTGTAGTCTATATTACACACCGAATAAGTTCAGTTAAAATATTGCCTTTAAGTACAAACAATAGTGATGGTGAAATATTAGCATTCTACCACAGGGGTAGACAAACAGAATTTTTGAGTACTTGTCCTCAGACAATACCTCCAATTTCAATAACAGCAACATGTGTTTGTATCATATGTATTCACAGCACGACTTTTACATATCGACAATAAAAAGGTCTAAAATCCTCTTCAACTCTTTTGACATGATTACGTCTTTTTTGACAAGACTTCAATACCTGCCATGTTTTATGTCTTGTGCAATTTTTAACAACACATGAATGGGTTAATCCTAGAGGAGTTTCAACCAAGTATTCGATGTAGTGGTCAACTGCATCAAAAACAGATACTCTGCTGAGATTTATTACATATTTTAACAGCGGTAAAAACAAGGGACATTTTTGAGTATATGAATTTTTGTTAACTGGAAAAGCACTTGTCAGCGGGCAGGTACTCCTTATTAAATAACTTGCCCACCAAACAAAATTGGTTGTCTCAAGCATTGGGCAATGCTATCTGTCTAGCCCTGTACCAAAGAAACTTGCATTTCATATGACACTGCCAAGCAAGCATGGTGTGCACATAGGGGCCAGTAACATACTATACTTGGTTTTATGCAAACTCAAGTGGTATACATTATATAAGACAGTGCAACATAGAAATTCAAAAGAATCATTCAATATCTGAATAATCATACTGCTGTTTTTCTTAAACACTACACTGTGATATACTCTCAATTCCCAGTCCTATAGACTTGATGTCACACAAACTTACGATATGAACTTTTCACAAAGGCAACATGAAACTAAATACTAATTGTTATGAAGACCATTACTGTTGTTGAATATGTCCCCCCTCCCCCCTTACTTACTCCTATATTTCTATTATAATACTGTATGTGTACTTAAAAAAGCGGGCTTCATATTTTAGCAACTTTGGTGCAGACAAAGATGCGCTAATTCATGAATACCGCTAAGAAATCATTTATAAATACAATATATGGCGCGTTAACACGCCAACATCTCAATACCCAGTGATTGCGCTAAATTTTGAATACGCCAATTTATGTACACGCACAGTATTATATATACATGACTTACTCCTATACATTTCTATTAAAATATCATATATACATTACTTACTCCTATATATTTCTATTATAATATTATATATATATTACTTACTCTAATATATTTCTATTATAATATCATATATACATACTCCTATATGACCATATATTTCTATTACGCAGCTTTGTTAAGGCTGCATAAAGGGGGAGTGGGCTAATTTATACGGGAAATGTCTACTGTGACATCACACAAAAATAGCAATTCCTCACAATAATAGAAAATGAAATAATTTGCGGTTTTAAACTGCATAAGAGTGATAAACTACAACAAAACTTACCACTGCATTTATTTTTGTCGCTAGTTAAATCCCACACAGCAAGATATAAACAAGTCACTGATCGCAATGCACTTGTCGACATGACGTCATCATGGTAAAATTTGACGCATTTTATGTGCAGTGCGAGGCGGATCAAGTATTTTTTCCACAGTGAAAAACGCATTTTGTTAGAATATTGTTTACAAATCTAAGGTAGACCATTTATACAAATCTGAAACCTTTGTTTAGTGCCATTATTTAAACATAGGTAATCAAAGATTACGAAGCTCACCTCGACGAAGGCTATCTATAAGTAAGGCAAATCTCACATCATATTTTTTCTAGTTAGTGTTCATCCCAAGATCAATATCCATTCAAGTTTGGTTTAAGAAGGACTTATAGATACTTGGAAATAGACCTGCTCAAAAAACTTCTAACCTGTTTACTAATCAAGAAAATTTTGGACAGTTCCAACAACCAAAGCAAGTCTGGAAGTTTTCATCCTTAGATGTACCATCCAAGCTGTTTAATCATAACATGCCATAATATTATATAGCTACTCCAAAAACATTACTCTGGTCACCCATCTGGAAAATGTAGGTCAGATTCAGAATCCAGAACAAGTCTGAAAGTGTCCATCCTAAGATACATCATCCATGCTAATTTGATTAAAATATGGCTAAAATTCACTCATCTGGAAAATCTAGGTCAGATTCAGCATCCGAAGCAAGTGTGGTAGTGTCCATCCCTAGATGCATCATCCATGCAATTTTGGTCCAGGTAGGGCTTATAGTTACTTGGGAATAGACCTGCTCCAAATATAGGTCAGATCCAGCATCCGAAGCAAGTGTGGTAGTGTCCATCTTTAGATGCATCATCCATGCAACTTTGGTTCAGGTAGGGCTTATAGTTACTTGGGAATGGACCTGCTCCAAAAACTTTAACCTGGTCACTCATCTGGAAAATCTAGGTCAGATCCAGCATCTGAAGCAAGTGTGGTTGTGTCCATCTTTAGATGCATCATCCATGGAGGTTTGGTTCAGGTAGGGCTTATAGTTACTTCGGAATGGACCTGCTCCAAAAACTTAAACCTGGTCACTCATCTGGAAAATCTAGGTCAGATCCAGCATCTGAAGCAAGTGTGGTAGTGTCCATCCCTAGATGCATCATCCATGCAAGTTTGGTTCAGGTAAGGGCTTATAGTTACTTGGGAATGGACCTGCTCCAAAAACTTTAACTTGGTCACTCATCTGGAAAATCTAGGTCAGATCCAGCATCCGAAGCAAGTGTGGTAGTGTCCATCTCTAGATGCATCATCCATGCAAGTTTGGTTCAGGTAGGGCTTATAGTTACTTGGGAATGGACCTGCTCCAAAAACTTTAACCTGGTCACTCATCTGGAAAATCTAGGTCAAATCCAGCATCCGAAGCAAGTGTGGTAGTGTCCATCCCTAGATGCATCATCCATGCAAGTTTGGTCCAGGTAGGGCTTGTAGTTACTTGGGAATGGACTTGCTCCTAAAACTTTAACCTGGGACGCCGACGCTAACGCCGACGCCAACGCCGGGGGTATAGCATAAGCTCATCTCGACTTCGTCGAGGTGAGCTAAAAACTATCGAGAGAATGTATCAAATTAATTCTACCGTGTATTTGTGTACAGGGTGTGCATGTTTTACGCTGAGGTGCCTCATTAAATCGCCTTTTCGCAAGGGCATACACTTAATAGATCTTGACCATTTTTTGAATATGCATCACGGAAACATTCCTTAACTTGAAAAGTGCTGCTGCTTTCCTGATTCGAGAGCATTACTTAATTAATAAATAAAATACATGATAAAGGTTACACATATTTCGACTAGAGCCAAATAACTTGAAATTTAAACTAATAAAATGCGAATTCTGTTTAAAACAGCAGCACTTTTCATAAACTACAAGTTATATAGATACAATTTATTACTGAAATTTTTAATTCTAACTAGGGTATGCCCTTGTGATATTGAAATTTGTTTATGACCTACATACAGTACACATTAAATGCATTTATCACGTGACTGTCAAATAACATGACCAAACCAAATTCAGTACAGAGCGGGGTATACAATATTATTTCAATTAAAATTAAAGTCAAATGATAATATAGTAGCTTTACAAAAATAAATTCAGTTTAAAAAGGTATGTATTTATGCATGTTTATATTCCGTTGATTTCTTCATAGTACGCCTTAACAATCCTGCGTATAATGATAAATAATTATATATACATTTATTTACTTACTCCTCAATTTCCTCCTCTTCTTCATCCTCATCCACTCCCTGATTTCCAGTAGGATCCTCCTCTGAGATCAGTGGATCATCTGACTTTGGCATCTTTTAAAGTGGTGTGCCAAGGTCTGTGTTTATGTATCTTTATAATATTCTATGAACATGGCAGAAAATGTATATATTATTTAATATACATCATTAAAAAGAAATGCAGTTGATAAACATATAAAAAAATTACCAGCATAAATATTATTCAGTATTATAACAACAGTTAAAGGGTCTAGAAATGCTCATCTTTTCTAGCACAGAAATGTAAAGAAGTAATATCATAGCTAGTAACTTATTAACATCATAAACATTATCAACTCACAGAGTTTTATGGTTCTAAGCTTAGTACTGTTCAAGATATTTGTCAAACAAAATACACAGAGAATTCCAGACCCATTCATTTGCGAAAACTTTGTAATGGAGCAATGAAAAAGATGCATCAGTCCATTTTCAATGCTTGGAGCTTTATAGTTCACACAAAGTACCTAGTTCTTGTTTTCAAACACCTCTGTGATCCCTAGGGTAATGCTCTGAGCACCTTAAAATGTACAATACATAGTGATGCCTATGTACAGATTTGGTCAATATCCAACACAGATTTTTTCAGGAGATTTTTTTTGCAAACATGACTTTTCTTCATGCCTCATAATCTCCTCTTGAATCCCCTTATATCAGTCCAAGTCCTGTTTGATGAGTACTGGCTTATCATGGCCTCTTCAAATATTCCCTAAAATTTTAGACAGGTTTTGCACACTGCTCAAGGGTCTTAAACATAAGCCCACTGGAGCCTTCAGTGCAGGTGAACTGATATCTTCCCATTTTTTTTTTCAAAACTTACCAAATACAATATCTTGTTTCATTCTGCTTTTTATGTTTGTAATGTATGGCCTTGGACATGTAGACACCTTTCAATTTTATTCCATCTACCTCTGCTGGATATCTGGGAAAAAAAAGGTTCAGTGCTTTAAATAGTTGACATCCAAAAACCAAAAAATTATCAACAAAATCTACTTAATCATTTCCTTTATGATATGTATCAGATATTGTTGTGCACTAATTATACATGTGAATACATATATTACATCTGATATGACTTTAAAATTCCTTTAAAAGGAATTCTTAGTTCCCATCCTCCAATCCTTGTAAACAACAAGCAATATAGTCAGACAGACTATTTTAAGCTAAACCGTGGGGAAACAAATGCTACACAATTTGTCAATTTCTGCTTGTTTTTGAGTGTTTGAATGAAATGATGGAATAGTGGAAACATAAATATCAGTTCTAAAATTTCACAAAGACAATAACCTAATACTTCTCACCGGGCATAATTTTCACGATTACAGACATGCTTCAAGAAATATGCCTGGGTGAACTTTCAAAATTGAAACAGTCATCTTATCAATAAAATCGGGAGAATGAATTCTTTGACAGGTAACCCTACCTTAGAGGAGTTCAATATAATACCATACATACACAAATAAAACCCACCTTATCAAGAACATGTAACCTTTTATTATCTCTGACCAACAAAGTTGGATAAATGAAAAAAAAAATTATCCTTGTTTGTAAAAACAGCAAAAATGACACCTACTTAAATCCTAATATCTGAATTCTATGATATCATAATTTGTAAAAATATGAACACATATCTTATTCTAAAATAAAATATATGCAGGTAAGGTTGAATTTTTGCTTTAACAATTCTTTACCTTTCTGCACTATAATGAACTGCAAGCACTCATTCAAGAAAATGACAGGGGGCCTTAAGAGGTTAGCCATTTGAAATGGACAAACATGTCTCATACTTCACCACTATATCTTATAAATGACATCCACAGCATAGGCCCCCTGGTTTTATGCAAGTGCAAAGGTCATTTGAGGTCTTGTTTTGGAAGCCAACACGTGAGGAACCTGATGTAAACTGTCCCTGACTTCTTCAATATACATTCAAGCACTAAAATTTTAAACAGTCTACCTTTTTTGTTAGTTTTTTATGCTTAAATGTTAAGAAAAGCTACTGGACTTGCAAGTGCCTAAATTAATCATAATTCCAGTTGACGCGCTATTGCAGTATAAGGATTAGTACACGAAGCTGCATGACTTCAGTACAGTTAGGTTACCATGTAATTAAGGTGCATAGATCATGTAGATTCAACAACCTGTTACCCTTATTAATTCAAGCAAGATTAAAGCTAAATACTTGATAGAGTGGTTACCTATGATATAATCTCTGGGGTAATTAGAAGGTTATATTTAACATGGTTGGAGGTCAATACTCATGAATTTTTTCAACTTAAATCAGACTGAGCTTTTGTACTCTGAAAAGTTTTCAGCTTGGTGTTAGGAGGAGTCAATTTTATTCTTGAAGAATAAAAAGAAGAAAATCTGTTTTAAATTTTACTGAGTTAAGTCTACCAGAATATATAGCAGAATGGAGTTTACACAAAATGTGTTTTGGTCTTAATTTGGTCAGACCTTAGCCCATGTACTCCACATGAGGATACTCTATATGTCATTGACAAGGATTTCACACAGAAAACCTTTTTAACCTTGAACTTTTTAGCAGAAAGTTGGATAAAGGTCACTGCAGACCCTTTATCCAAGGTCACTCTGGGGAATCATGAACCAGATTATCAGTTGACCATATTAAGGTAAAATCTTTTTTACAAAAAGATCTGGTTTTGACACCGACCTTACATACAGTCTACTAGAAGTTTCATTGAAAAAAGCTTTTTTTTCACAGACACTAAATTCTTGATTGATAATTAAATCACATAGCTTATTAAGGTCTTCCGTCTCCACGGAAGACCTTATAGTGATTCTATTGTTTCTTCTTTTTATTATTATTATTATTATTATTCTTTTTTTTTTTAAGACAAAATTTTGTGCACGCGATTTCTCGAAAACTATTCAATGAATTTCTTTGAAATTTTCAGGGATAAAAGGTCTTTATATGAATTTTATATAAAATTCTGTTTTTTGGTAAATTCGGTTCCAGTGCCAAGCTATGGACAATTTCCTGATTTTAAAATGAAATTTTGTCCTCGAAGGATCCAAGAAACGGCTAAAGATATGAACTGGAGACTTGTTTGAGATGATAGAGCATGACTTTTAGATGTTCGAAATTACTTTTGTTTTCGTCGTCAGTACTTCCGGTCGTCACCGGAAGTGTTCAAAGAAATCGAAAATTTCAACATTTCTTTTTTTAATCAAATCTTGCATCACATTATTGCAACTCTTTCGCAGCTTCGAAATATGTTGGTCCCATCGGAAACAAATACGACAACTTCCGGTTATAAGAGAAAAACTACATAATTTGAGTATTTTACTTTCCCATAAATATCTTTTATAGGTAAAGTATTTGAAATGATTTTTAGATATGTTATTCATATTGCAAATGTCTAGAGTAACCTCAAATATCTTTGCAAAATTCACTTCCGGTGGCGTGTTTTTCTGTCCTCAAAGTCAGAGAAAATATCTGAGCGAGATCTCTAAAACGGTAAGAGATTAAGACAACAAACTTATATCAGTAATAGACCTTGAAGAGTATGCAAAATCCTTTTGGTTAAACCGTCAGCTGTCACTTCCGGTCGTCACAGGAAGTGATCAAAGAAATAAAAAAATAAACTTTTCTTGTTAAAATTAAAACTTGCATCACCTTATTGCATCTCTTTCGCTGTTTTAAAATATGTTAGACTCCTCCGGGAATGAAAACGTCAACTTCCGGTTTTAGGAGATAAAATACGTTATTCCGATATTTAAGTTTCTCATAAATATCGCTTATAGAAAAAGAATTGAAATGTTTTAATACATGTTGTAGATACTGCAATGTCTAGAGACACATTAGAGATTTTTTTTTCCATAAAGTTCACTTCCGGTCGCGTGTTTTCCTGTCCTGAAAATAAGAATTTGTTCTAACAATTGCTCAGCAACAATAAACGACTGAAGTCTGAAACTTTCAGGACTGATAGTCCGTCATCAGTTTATTTGCATCGTATGAAAATTGTGTGTCGCCGTTACTTCCGGTCGTGACAGGAAGTGATGCAAAAAAGTGAATGGCTAATGGTTAGCACGTTGGATTTCACTCTGACGACCAGGGTTAAATCTCCAGAGTCTCTGAATTTCTTTTATCACTTTTTCAGCTTGAATTTTCGTTTTCATTTTCAGAATCCGACGGAAGACCTCTCATTGCTCGCAATGAGTTTCTAGTTAAATTTCTATTTACAATTTTCAGTTGGACTTTAGCTGTCATAATCAAGAAATACTAATTACCATAAGTGACCCCATGCAAGTATACATAACTGTGATATCTCTTGCTGATTTTTATTTACTTTTTTTTTTAAATTCTACCCATGTGACAATGTACCTAAGCATCTGATGCCTTGTGTCTTTTGACTTTTAAAGGGTGAAGGAAAATAAACTGGAGAAAAACTGGTCAATAACAGGCACAAGTTATAAAACAGACATTTTGCACCCTTTTCACAGGAAGAATTTCACATCAATGACAATTTGATATCTAGGATAAAGGAAACAAAGTCCCATATCGATGGTATTTGTGATTTAACTTCAGTCAAAGTACATAAATTCAAATGTGCACTTAAAGATTATTTATATAGATACTATATAAAGGAGTGAAATTCACAACTTGTATCAATTCAAACAAAAAGCAAAGTTTTAAACAAAATTTGTCAGAAAAAATACCTTAAATTAATTACCGAAAAATTTTGAGCAGAAGAGAAGTTTTACACATTTTCGCATATCAGCTCATAGATTAATATTGAAAGGGGACGATATATAGGCATGCACTCCTCAAGAAGAAAGACACTGTACTATAATTGAATTAAACCTATCTTTAATTCATTTGGAGATAGGTACAATTGATTTGCAGATAGGTACAATTGGTTTGAAGATAGGTATAATTAATTGAAGATAGGTTCAAATATTTGAATTTATGTTAATTTGGCGTTCCATACAAACCAAAATCATTATGTCAACATGCAACATGACTTGTATCTGGGAACTATTTACCAATTCATTTAGGATATTATAAGCTACTTATCTGCTTATATGGATATCTGCATTGTTTTACACATTCATTAAAAAATAGGCTGCATATGCATGAATTTTGAGAATAAAATTGAAGAATAAAAACGTATTTACTCTGTCAGCAAATTTAGCGACTTTTGTTCAAAATTAAAACTTAATTTTCGTGTGTTTGAAATTGGGAAAAATATACTAAAAATTGGGAAAAAATAGCTAATTTTTGTGAGGGGAAGCAGCCGAATATCGGTGGCATTTTGACCAAAAAAAAATCACTGAAGATGTGCAATTACTAGTTCAAGTCAGTAAAATGATTCTAAAAACTGGAAAATAAATTATCTTTAGCTCAGTTCATCACGGTCTATTTTATGTAAAGCACATTTATATATTTATATATTATATTATTTGTAAATTTTTTTTTTTCCCTATCACTTTAAATGTATATTGAATGAGTCTCTTGAATACTTAGAGTACAAGTTTGTCAGTCAGAATGACCTTCCACAGACATCATCCCTTGGTACATGTACTCTCTGTATTCAAGCCACTTTTTTTACACTATACTGTTGCTATTATTATTATCATCATTTTCTACATCTTCATGTGGTTGAATCTACCTCTTCAATATTTTTTTTAAACCAAGTTACAGACACCTGTGGATATGTTACACATTTTACATTTTCATGAGTTTCATAAATGTGGTATTGTACATCTTCCATTTGTACTGTCCCAGCATACTTAGAGTACATTAAATCTAAGAAATCTGTGTAATTTTTTACCTGCAAATGGAATGGAAATCATGATTCCACAGAAGTTAAAAGTCTGTTTACATCAGATTTATAGAATAGATTTTAAAATGTATTGTCTTATACTTTTTTCCTTTAATCATTATGA